CCTCGCCTATCTCTTTACACATTCGCCTCCCCTTTTAATGATTTTCAGAAGACGTTTCAGTTGTGCGCCACGACTTAAGCCGTAAGAGCGACACGATGTTAATTAGAACGGCGTCTCGGGGTGCCGCACACGACCCCCAGGAGATGAGACTTAGTGACTTGACTTGATTTCGAGGTTTTAGGCCAGGTTTGAATTAGGGATGGCTGTCTGTCGGCTTGTCTGCCTGCCTGCTTTGCTTGCTTGCTTGCTTGTGTCGGAGAAAAGTGGCGCCATAGGCAACCATCGCCGCCAAATCCCGAAGGAAGTTAGCACGGATTATAGGACGCATCCATCACTCGCTTCTTTCGTCTTCTAGCTGCAGAGTCGTCCGTAATATCGTCGGGATATTATTGTCCGTAATGCGCGTGACGTGGCGCTTGCCGACTCTTCCTGAACTCACTGTCCTTTATGGTTTGCTTGGAAAGTTGTTGCGTTAATGTGAGAGATATCAACTTATTCTATTACATTCTGGAAACATCAAAAGCAAGATATATGTTGTAATTGTATGTACTATACGGTAGATTGTATCTACTGTATAAATTCGTATTTCTTGGCAGTAAAGTTTCTTGTGTGCGTGTGCGTGTGCGTGTGTGTGTAAACTATATTTTATAAAAGTATGTTATTGTGTTTATCATCATAGAGAGATTATTAAATCGTTATTTCACTTGAGCTTTTATAAAGAAATGATAGATATTACGAGATTTTGATAACATTTTTAGTATTCTTATATATTTTGTATGTATAGCTTTTTATTCTGCGCGAAAAAAAAATATACTAAATTTTTAAATAAATATTTTAACAATTTATTTTTTTATATTTATTTAACACAAGAACCATTAATTGATTTAACTGTCACCATATTTTATCATGTAAATATTTACTGTAAGTAAATGTTTAGTTAGTACTATCGAAAAAAAAAATGTATTAAGATGTAATAAATTTTTTTTCAGTACAGAAATTAATATTAGGTGTTGGAATTAATTCGTAGCGTTTTACAAAGTATTTATAAGTTTTAAAAGTACTTTCATTAATGTATTTTTTAATGCTCATGTGAAATAAATAACATTCTTTCATTAAAAAACGCTACGAATTAATTCCAACACCTAATAACTTGCAGTACTTTTAAAGTTTCTAAATAACATGGTATGTGCAATGTTTTAGTAGACAATATCCTATTCTAAAGAATTTAATTAAAATTGTTTATATATCACACAAATTTCATCAAGAAGGATATATAAGGGAGAATGCGAGGATTAAAATCATAGGAGCAGGACCCGGCCGTTGTTGAGTAGACTGCAATAAACTGGATATCATATCTAGACGTTGCTTCGAAGTTTAAGAAAGTGTCGGAACTTTTCCCGAGATATTACCCGGAACCTTTCGAGAATTTTAGAATTTCACCAAGTTTCGGCGACCAAGCGTGAAGTAACGACCTTCTCGCAGAGATGATATTGTCTCTCTGACGGCTTTCCGTCTTGAGACGGGTAGCTGATCGAGAAGCTCCGCGTACAAATGCAAAAGCTTTGATCCTCTGTCGCCCATCCGACTGAAATTCACACCGCGCTTGCCGAAACGACGCTCGGCTAATTGTTTCGTTCTGAAACTCCAGCGGCATTGTGTTGCGCAATGATCGCTGACGTCCGTTCGTCGATCCGTCTGTGCATGGTATACGAAAGAGAAGCTTGATCTCCTTTTAAAAAGGCATTAAACCCGCTCGCGTTCAAAGGGGCGCGATCACAGAATAATATCTCATAATTAAAGCGAAGCCCGTAGCGGACGAGTATCAGTCAGACTTAGCGAAACGATCTGTCAAGCCACGAAAAGTCCGGGCTGGAAAATCTCAACCCTTTTACGCACGGTCACGTGACTTGACAGGCAGGGTACCCCTGGCACGTGGCCCAGGCTTGTGTTTTAGATACGCGTGTCAAGTCCCAAAACGTAACCTTCGTCTAACCGTTCTTCTCCATCCATGTTTTTCTTCGTATTTCCTCGATTTGTTATTTTTTTCAACACCGAGCTGCCACTTGCAGAAGGCGTGGCTGTCGTCGTATTCGTTTGCCGCGACGCCAACCGCAAACGTGCTGTCTGAAGGTGTTGGAAATAAGGAAAATAAGGAAAATTAAGGAAACTCACGTAAATCGAATGCGACCAGCCAAGTTTTTAATTGTATTATATAATAATTTTAATGATCCGTTTCTGTAATGTATTTTGATATTTTTTTTACGTAAGTCATTATTAGCATATTATGGAAAAAGATTTAATAACAACCAGCATGCTTTTTATTAAATCCTTCACGGCAATCAATTTGCTAAGAACATTCCGCATTCAGCTTGAGTAACTCGAATATTGCCCTTTGTCGAAGTTACGATCGCTGCGATACCATAGAAGGATATACGAGGCACGAAGAAAGAACGAGTGGAATGGGAAGGGAGATTGGGCAACTCGTGGTCCCGACTAATTCTTTTTCTAACTCTCTTTTGCTTCCTTTGGTCCTTTTTTACGGTGACGTCACGATGTCCAGCTCGCGTTCGAAATGGCGGAAGACGGCCACGTTAATGGCATCGTAAAAGTTAACGACAATGTTCCCTTACGATTTTCCACTATCCTTTCGTGCCTCCGACTAGACCGCGTAGTCGCCTCCTTCTCAAAGAACCGCGTCTAAAATTATTGTCGCGGACATGGAATTAATTTCCGCCCTCGCTGCAGACGATTGAACTTCTGTGCCGTTTGTAGCGGACTTTGATCGTACGTTGGGATTAGAAAAGCTCGTTGGATGCGATTCAAACGTTTTGAGCGAAACTGATTTTATGGGGTTCGACGACCGAGTTACGGCCCAGAATCTGGAGATTATCAAAAACTTCCTGTTAACACGAGTGCGTTATTCGAACCATTTCCTATTATATAAACTCGTCGTTAAATATAATTTTACAAAAATTTACAAAGTGAAGTGGAAAATACAATAGCATTTTCTATAGATCGCTACAATAATTCAGTTTTATTCTAAATGATGTTAATTACGTAAAAAATATTGAGACTTTGTTACAGTCTTATTTATCTCCTTGCAAAAGACTGGGAAACAAGGTGTAACGTCTTTGCATAATTATTCTTGGCGTGGTAAGATTACCGCTATTTCGATTGTATCGCGAGCTTCTCTATTCCAGGCGACGTAATTCCGCGACTAGGAATCTCCGGTAATTGGTAGGCCGCTTAGCATATTTCTGGTTCTAATCACAGACACTAGTCAGTAAGTAAGGGCGGTTTAAAGTCTTTGGTCGATCCCTCCGCCTCCCCGTCTTGCCACCCTCGTTGTACCGAGATAGGGGCTTAAGGGTGAGACCAATCTGCTTACAACCCCCTTATTCTGAATAATTAACCCGGGGGCAGAGGAGAAAGAAAGAGAGGGAGAGAGAGAGAGAGAGAGAAAGAGAGAGAGATCAAATGCGCGCGCTTTTTGCTCGTGTCATTTATTACCGAGACCACCTTGTTAGTTAACTTCGCATTTGAATGTGAATGGGCGTCGAATGAGCGCAGGAAGACAGGTACGTAGCGCGACGGGAGGTATGGTCGATCGATCTATCTTCCGGAATTTGTCACACCTTGGGCAAACACAGTGAGAGGGTGACTGGCGTTTTTTTCCCGCTGCTTTGAGTTCTTTCTCTCCCTCCCTCCCTCTTTCTCTCTCTTTCTCTTTCTCTCTTTCTTTTATGTCAGCAACAGCACCTGATTGTTCTCAGGTACGTTGGTACAGGCTCTCGCGTTAATTCGCCGTCATTAGTCACACGTCGAATTCGGCAGCCGGGAGCGACTGTGAAAAAATTTATTAACGCTCGTGCTCGACGCTACCGGGTTTCGCGTACAAAAGTGTGTATTTGCATGCGAACGCGCCGCGGCTTTCATTTGCCTAAGCCGTGGAGATCTGAAACGGGTCCGGGCTTCATTCAGGCTGATTTCAACCGCCACGGTTGTGAATGGCCGTTACGCGGGATGACCGGATTAATGGCGATTTTGAATATTTAATTAATGGAAGTGCGTGATTCGCTGGACTACGGGTATTTATATTCTTTTTTTCACCCGACTATGCTCCTTTTGTATTTTATTCGGTACATTTCTATCGCGTTAAAAATTCACGGAAAAATTGATGAAATTCATCTGTAACTGTGGTTCTTTTATATTTGATAAATGAGTTTTATTCATGATTCATTTATAAACTATTTCTCTTTGTTATTCGACAATAGCAAACTCTCTTAATTTATGTATAACGAGTTTTTAATATTTAACTTAAATATTTAACTTATTTTTTTTTTTTTTAAACACTGTATAAGTTGATAATGAGTAACACTGAAGCAACTTATATTTTAATTTAATTCCGCGTGCACTGTAAATTCTCAGAGCCTCTAAAAGTCTTTTGTTTGTCGGGTTGCTCGAGGAGAAGATTAAGGGCTGCCGCTGCAATTATCTCGATTTGTCAAGTGAGTGGATTATCACGCGAGGTCATTGGAACGTTACTTTTAATAACGAGGGTCGTTAGGCCTATGACAAATTTCGCGGGCGACCGCCTGCTTCGCGCTTGGTTTGCCGGCAGATGAGAATCTTCAATAGAAATTCATTTAATCTTTGACACGATATTAATTAATAACGGACTAAAGATAGTATCTCGACGTGATACTTGCGGAGGGCCTTGATCGCAAGATTTCGTCTTTGATGTATTCATTCGTATTACATAGATAGCAAATATATATTAATACATATATGATTTAGGCATTCAATTATATATCATTTATATGCACACTATATACATATATTAAAATTGTATACAAATTATATAATTATATACGATAATAAGTAAGAAAAAATAATAGCAAGAAATAGAATAAGATTGTAAAATGAGTAACGTAGTGTAAAAACACTGACTTTCACAATAATTCATGAAAATAACCGGTTTTGAAACAACTTGTTTACAGGTACGAGAGTTGCGGAACAGCTGGATCCTCACGAGACTTCTTTGATACGTTGCAACGTCAATTGACAAAAAAAAAAACAGCACCATCGCCACTACCCTTGACAACGATCGTTAACTCTTGTTCTGCGATGACCTCGAGCCATTTGCGCTTTAGCCGTCGTCCGTGCACGCCGACTGAGTAAGTACAATCGTTTTTAGACCATACTGTATAAACCCTACGGGCGGAAAGGGGTTAGGGAAGATCATTATCAGAGGCTTAACCACGCGAGAATTTTTAATCAGAGGGTGCGCACCCCTCGGGATAATACCGTTGCTGTCGATAAACGCGAAATAATTGTCACACGGCTGTGTTTAATGTAGGATCGCGACGTGAACCGTCGATGGACAATACTTACGCGATCGACGCTTTTCGAGTAGGTGCTACCCCATAGGATTACCCGGTACAGGCCCAGTCATCGAAACCATGTGGTGACATTAGAAGCGCGCAGTGTTACGAGTTACCACTTTGCATTAGATTCCTCGCCAGCACGAATGGCCCGATTAAAATATTTTAAATACGCCATGCGAGACTCCCACTATTTCTCCGTGCCTGTTTTAATCAGCGCGAAAATTATGTTGTTGACTATTCCGGCGTCAGAAGTACTTCGCGAACATGCAATTAGTGAGGTCACGTTTCTCGTAATTACAATAGAAAATATGCGCTGTGACATAATTAGTCGAAGAATCGCTCGCTTCTCGAGAAGATAAACGTTACGAAAATTTATAACATTTAGAATCGTTCAATATTAAACTTCCCGAGAGTAATTCCTACGCATTCGACCCGGCTTTGACTCCCGAAAGCACTAAACTAAACGAACCATAGATAGAATTCGGCTCCTGGGAGAGCACTGATTAGCATCATCTTAAGGTCGTATACGGCGCCGTAAGTGTGCCGTCCCTTTGGCATTCATATGCAAAACTGACCAGATAGTGACCGCCGATTTACATAACGTTAGATTGACCGTGATTTCATTTAACCGAGGGTTCCGCCTCTGCACACGCCGATGCTTACAGAGAGCTTTCTCCGAGACGTTGGCCCGAGGAAATTCATGCAAAGTGACATCTTGAGAACGTACTTCGAGGAGCCTTGTAATCGAAATTCCGAACATCCCATATACTCGCTCCCTGAATAACGCGATCCTAATTGCGTTCGGTGTATCACAACACGTTTCGTATACAATGTAGCTCTCAGAGGTGATGGGAAGATAATATAACCTTTAATATATGTATATCGAGAATACGTACGATAATTACCATTTATGTATATATATAGTCATCATAACGTGCAGTATTCAACGCGTCATATTACTTATCGTTTATTCGCTAATGGCGTGTAGCAATCTTAAAACTTTGATTTACAATCGCGTTTGTCACATCAGGATTAACATTGTGGAAGGGTTAAACCTTTTATCGCTCATGTAAACGGCAGATTCGTAGACGGCCATATCTTTCGTATCGAGAAAATCAATACCTAGTATACACGTCCGGAATACTTGGTTTAATATGCTTATACTCCGCTGGCGGAATCGCGGAGCCGTGAAACATGGTATTAACGGATACACCGATCCTTGATGGTAACAAATGATAGGAGCCTTAATGATCCGAGCACGAATACGCTCGCCTATATCTATATATACATCGAACGTCTCGACATGAGTGGAATCCACGCTTGTCCCTTTGATTGATTGCCTTTGTCACTTAGTCACCGTGAAAGGCTTTCGTGCGATCGTATCTTTTAATTACGAACTTAATTATCTTTTGCGTTTGCCAGCTTTTCTGTATTCGCGCGATGGCGAGAGAAATGGGGTCCGTATTTAAAGTCTTATTCCCCACGGACCACGAGAGCCTGTAATATCGTATTGAGTTCTGGTAGACTTTTACGTATAGGGTGTAATAAAATTTGATATTTACCTGCAGATAATTGCACCGTTATAAAATGCTTGCAACAACAGTATCGTGAGAGAATATGTTTCATAATGAAAAAAATACAATTAATCTGGTAGTAGATATATTTAGTGTGGAAAGTGTTTGCTTCACGTACACATATTATTGGACGTTATGTAGGAACACTGTGTATACAACGGAACATCATAGATATATCCAGGGTGTATAGGATACGGGTTACTAAGGCCCCCATAATGACCGCTGCAATCCTGCCCCCGCACACAATCCCATAATTAAATCCGTTAATCAAGGCTTACGGCTCGGACTGACCCTATCGACTTGGTTTATTGTGATCTGTGTAATCTATGGTAAATTAAGACGTACCGTCGTCGCACATCTCGTTTGCGTAACTAGAACTATTCGCCCGTTATTAATTTATCGAAGGCATTACTTCAACGTAATTCTGATTCGACGTAATTATAATCTCAGTATTATATTTGAATCAGATGATATATCACACGCTGTGATATCATCGCAGTGTGCATCATATGATGTCACGCATACACACACTCACACACACACACACATCGCTTCAGAAATATTTTATAATAGATGATAAATATAGGATGTTTTTTTGTATCTATGTTAACATAACCTTGTTATTTTCAAGCTCAAAGGCACGTATATATCTATCGCAATTCTATTCGAAACTGCTAATTAAAGCTCTCACGATTGCGCTAATTATTTGAAGATGACGTAGCAAAGTATATTTTGCAACAACTCGTACTTAGCGAGCGTTTCGAAAGGATTGCAGAGCTCTTTAGCGGAAAACTGAGGGTATACTCCGTAGCAAGTAAGTGATCTTTCATAACGAAGGCGCGTATCGCGCGCCAAAGTCCCTCCATCTTCAGATTCGCCTTAAAATTAATTGTCCGGCTTATCTCTCCGCCTCGCTTCCTCGTCTCGCACTTTATTGCTCCGAACGAGAGACGAAAAGGGACGAGGTTTAGCATCGATCGTGGGTGCCCACGGAGGAGACTTCTCACAGCGGGCCATCATCTCTATTTCTCTCTTTCTTCTATTTCGCCCTTGTCTCTCCGACATTTCATTGGCTTTGAAATGACAGAAGTCAAGTAGAGCGAAATACGGAGAACGCGGTTGAAGTGTAATTGGCACTGGAGTGTACTCGTCTTGGTTCATTAGAGAAAATATCTTCCCCATTGTCGAGGGGCTTACGTATAGCCTCCGAATATCTCTGTAGCTCTCTTTATCTCCCTTCTTTTTGTTATCCATCGTTTTTCCACATCGGGTACATTCTGTTGCTCTCGCACGCTGCTGCTTGCTTACGGGGATAGAATTATTTTTCTGTTTCGAGTGGATATAACGGTCACTCGATGCAACCGCCCTTCGGGTAGGTCCTCTTCTGTGCTACGTTACGCAGGCTTATTGTGAAAATATAGAAAAGCTTGTGACAGTCTAATCTTCTCGAGTGTCCCGAACGAATAGACCCTAATTCTCGAGTGATCTCGAAGGAAATTGACCGGGATAAGTATCCGACTTTCAATCCCAGATTTCAAATTTCGCATTTCTTTCGGTCATCTGTTTCCAGATCTTGGTTATTTATTAAGCTTGGAACTCTCATTCTTTACTTCTTTATTTCATGAATATTTTTGTTTATTTTACATCGAGCATTTATTTTTGTTAAGAATATTTGCCCTACGCAAATTATCTGTCATTGAATATGTATACACAAAATATTATAATCGTTCGATATGAATAACCACAGGCCAACCGGCACATCAGGGTGAGATATTCTCTAACCGCAACTTTGCCACTCGATTATTGCGCGACCCCAGAGGTCTTCGAGTGTGCGCTGTACAATGAAAACGCACGTTTAATGACCACCATGTTTCGCCAACAGCTTATTAACTGTGAAACGTTTCTGCACGCATCTCCCTCGGAAATTTGTTTACGTCTGACCATACGACAATGTGCGCGCTGCAAGCGCACAGCGAACGAAAGGAAAGGACGTGCGAGAGAGGGCAACGAAAGAAGAAACGAGAGAGATAGCCGTATACTACTGCGGCACACTTTTCGAGAGAGTCTCTGCGAGCTGTCGAGATGGAAAACAGAAATATACGGGCCCGCTTTGTGCGCAAGTGGAGTGTGCACATGTAAGAGGTCTTCACGGGCACAAGTGCTTGCTTCCACATACCTGCGTACTTCAGCTCCGCGAAAGCACCTGTTGAAACCCACGAGCTTTCAAACTCCATGCGTTCACTTCCATGCCGATTCCATGCTGCTTGTTCCGCATCGGGAAAGATGATCCGGTCAAACGATGATTCGCTCATTCGAAGCTTTGTCAGCTCAAGTACGCAGAGATATGTTCTCTGCGATAATGTGGTATATTTAATTAATTTAACCTTTCGCCGACAATATAAATTTTAATTCCGTCACCAACAAGGATCTTCGAGAAACAGGACAAATTTTTCATTGTTTCGAATTATGTAAAAATCTGAAAAAAAATTCTGGTTGGATTGTATTATACTTCCTTTTTAAATTTATCTATTAGAATTCGTAATTTTAAAATATTAATTGCGCCTTTAGATAGTCAGTTGTCGGTGAAAGGTTAAAGTATTAGATAGAATTGTAATCTTATAAGGTTTAATTATACACGAAGACGTTTTGTTTCGAAACACTGAGAAATGTAGAAGTAATTTTAGAATGTAATTTTTAGGAAAAAAAATTACTTTTATTTCCTTACGATAACGAATAAAAGTATCTTGTGCGTTAAACGCGTAAACACCTTGTATGTAGTACAAATATCTCGTCGCTTAGGCTCCCTCGTTTATGTTCTGTGGTCCCCTCGACATCCATACCGAGCATATCCATACCGAACGACACGAGAGGCTGGCAGGCGCTCTCGTAAGAGGCGAGAGAGACTCTGATTATTTATAATCAGCCGGGGGCACCTGCCGAACGGCGTTCCCATGCGCCCTGAAATAGCACCGGTGCCACGAAGGGTCACCCACGTTCGATAAAAAGACGAACACGAGTTGTCGCATCTGACACGTCACAAGGTGGTGCCTTTGGCCGAAAGAGTACGTGTGTGCTAAATATAAACGGTTCGACCATGAGCACCCGTTAAAAAAGACGAAACCACCGTCGCGTAAATATAGCACGTCTCCCACGACGTGGTCGCGGCCGCCGACGACGTTGCCGCTGCCAGATAGGTATATTTTCCCGTTTGTTTAG